CAGACCCCCCTTCTGGAAATATTCTTCTACCGCCTTTCCAAATCCGACTGTACCCTATTTTTGGCCAGTCCAGGGGGTTCCCCAGACTCCTTAATTGTCAAGATTGCTGGGCCACCCCCTCCACCCCCAGATCCTTCTGGTTGCAGCTGCAAGCTTGTCTTGGTCAGCTTCCTTCCTCAGCCCAGCCTGCCCTTCTCACATCCTCCTGGGAGGCCCCCGGACCAGAGGCGAGTGGGGAGTCACTGCGCCCATTATGCTAAAGCTGAGCGAGGGCTCCTAGGTTCAAACCTCACCCCAGTGAGCCCCTGGGGGGCGGCAGACCCATCCTTGTCTTTTTACCTCCAACTGCACTGGAGCTGGGCCCCACCCACCCTGGAGACTTTAGCTGAGGCACCCAGAATTCAGCCACCACCCTACCAGCCTCAGTGACACTTATGCCAGAGAGACGCAACAGCAGGCCTTCCACACACAGGGGTTCTCTCATCTCAAGTAGCCTGTGTCTACTATGGGGGTGCAGGAAAGCAGCACTCCTACCCCTTCCTTCTGCAGAGAAATCAAGCAAAGAATTAGGACCCTTGCCAAGGGCATCTTCTTCTGATCTTGGCCTATATATGAGCAAGCCCGGTCCAGGCACAAGTGTCTCTGCTGGCAGGAAGCTCGTCCCTGCCTCCTTGGTCTCCCCTTCTGCTGGGTCTCAACCCTCTTGCTGCAGGTTCTTCCTGGGCCGCCTCTTTCCTGCGACTGCTGAAGCTCTGTCTCTGGCACCTTAGAGGAGCCAGAGAGCTGACACCCAACACCTTCTGCTCCATCTGTCCTCTTCTGTCTTCACTACTCCTTTTCCTTCTGGTTTCCAAGGTCTTGCCTCTGGTTTGGAACCCCAAAGTGGCCCCCTCATTAGGCCATCCCAAAGCTGCCTGCCCCCAGGCCACTCATATCAGCCCAAGCTCCTGGTTTCCTTAAAGGCAGCCTGTACTTGTTTGATGAGGCCATGCCAGAGCTCACCCAGAGCTCTAACTCCATTTCCCCTTCACTGCGGATGCAGCTTCTCTAACCCCACCTGGCTTCACTCTCCTTAGGGCTGAAGAATCCGAACTGACTGTCCTTGGTGGTTGGTTGGCATTGTTTTCAGGGCTGAGAGAGGAGGCTGATTAGTTAATGGTGCGAAGGGAAGGGGGTGGGGGCAGGGAAGCAGAGCTCTATGCCCAGCTCTGGGCTTGCCAGGGCAAACAGCAACCCCTGCAGACAGACAATCGCATCCATCCCCTCCAAGCCCAGGCCAGTCCAGAGATTCACTCTGGGGGTGGGGAGCCATGGTCTTCCCCTTCCTCTCTGCCCCCCACCCTTGGCTCCAAGCCCCAGGGCTGGCTGGCTAGGCTTGGGCCCTACTGGAGACTTATGGAGAGGGAGGAGGGTCAGCGCGTTCTGAAGGCATGGCTGATGTGGTTTGCTGGTCATCTCTGCGTCATCAGAGCGCCCTCCCAGAGCCTTCTCTCAGGTTGCCTGCCCAAGTCTGGGATGTGCTTCCTCACTCTGCTCCTCCCCCAACCCGCAGCAAGGCGGCCTGGCCAGGCCCCTATTTGACCCTCCCTGCCCTAGGAGCCCCCGGCCAAGGTGGGGGGTCTGAGGCAAGAGCCCACCCCACTCCCTAGAGCCATAGTTCAAGAGGCCAGAAGAACAGGGTTTGGGGAGAAGGGGAGCTGCAGGCTGCCCACACCCCGCTGTGTGGCAGACCCCACTCAGGCCCGGCTGCCTGAAGCCAGATCTGATTCCTCCTCCAGGCCCCACCCCCAGCTCCTGAGCAGCAATCGCACTGTTGGGGAGCCTGGGGGTCGCTGGGTGGCCTGCGTGGAGCCCGGCTGTAGTAGGGGTCCTTTCAACTGCCAGGAATGGGAACAGGTTTTCTGGGGTCAAGCTGGAGAACTTGTACCCAATTAACTCATTCGGGTGAGAGGAAACTGAGTCCCAGGCTAAGCACTCAATAAGCAAAGAGTCCAGGAAAAAATTCTGAAGGCCTGGGCTTGGACAAGTGAGAAAAGGCCTTGGGCCCGTGAGTTCAGCTCCCTGCCCCCTTCCTTTAGTCAAGGACGGCCCTGCAGGGGCTCGGGCTCGGGCTCGGGCTCGGGCTCGGAGGAGCAGCCCTAAGGCACCATCTCCCCTGCCCCCTGCCCCGGACGGTAACCCTGGGTCTGCGGGGTCCGGCCCGGCTTTGTTCCCTCAAAAGGCCAGCACCGCGAGGCGGGGCCGTGCGGGGCGGCGGCAGTCGCAGTAGAGCAGTCCCGGGCCGCGACCGTGGCCGGCTGATTTCTATGGGGCGGGGGTCTGGCGGGTGCAGGCGGAGGCGGAGAGGGGACCTGAATGGGCGGCCCGGGTCCGCGGCTCCTCCGCCAGGAGGTCCGCCAGGGCTGCACTGGCTGGTAGGGGCTGAGCGGGGTGAGCGCTGCTGGTTCTGACCGGGCGACTCTGGCCACTCCTGCCGGCATCCCCTTGCTGCAGCCTCCGGGGTCAGTCCGGCCAGAGATACCTGTCTCTGCCCGCGCACCCGTCCCAAGCTGGGGGCTGGAGGCCGACTCTGGCTTCACCCGGGGTGGGGCTCTGCG